TTCCCCCTCCTCCCTCCCCCCCTCCCTCTTCCCCTCTCCCTCCTTTTTCCATTCTCCCCAGAGGTTCATCCCCCCCCCCCCCCAGTTTTGTTCAATAAACCCAGTTACTATTTTTGAACATACGTGTCTTTTATTTGACATCAGGAAGGCGTGCTAGGGACAAGTAAGTGGAAGGACGTGAGGGAGGAATGGGGCATGAGCCTGTGGTAGGGAGGACCGGGGTGGCTCTGAGGGCTCCTTGGGGTGGGCGCTCTCCCGCAGGGCCTCCTGAATCCTGACAGCCCCCCATTGATTTTTCCCCCCCCCCGGATGGCAGCCTGCAGCAAGTGCAGCTGGGCTGATAGCAACGACCCCACGAGAGGTACCAGCGTGCCATGGGGCAGCTCTGGCTCCATGTGGCCGAGTACTGTGGTGTCCCGAGTGCAGGCACTCAGGGCACTCCAGGACAGGACTGCTTTGCTGTCCCTCATCGAGGTAGACAAGCAAGCGGGGAACCCTGAGAACTCTCTGTCCGGGGTGGGGGTCGGGTTCCTTTAAGCACGGACCTCAGTTAGCCTGAGGCAGCAGCCCCACACACTAAGTCCTTACCTGATGCCCTGCCAGTACTGGTTCTGGCCAGCCTTAACTTCGGTTCAGGGTCCCCTCAGTGTGGACGCGCAATTTCGAAATAGCAAAATGCTATTTTGAAATAGCGCATCTACACACAAAAACTATTTCGAATTAGCTTAATTTGAATTAACTATTTCTGTTTAAGTTAATTCAAAATAGCGCTGTAGTGTAGACATACCCTGAAAGGGTCCCAAAGTCGGAGGCTGGGAATCTTAAACCGAATCCTGGAATGGCATCTTGGACTCTGACGAACATGTTAAAAGTGGATCTATGATTTATCTTTGGAACACGTACTCACAACAAACACAACTGCTCCTGCAATAATAATACTCGTAACACATAATGAGAGGTTGCAAAGGGCTTTGAAATGCTCAGATCAGAGCCAGCCTCGTGCAATCCACCTTGAAAGTTATAATTAGAGCAGTTTGCTGCAGAGGGGAACAGAGGCAGGTTACGATGAAGGTCAGAAAGAGAGTGATTGAGAAATCAGGAAAAAAAAAGTAAGA